AGTGGGAGAAGAAGGGTTGCATTGACAATCCAACACAATATTTAGCACATTAAACACATTTTATAAGTGGTCAGAAACTTGTAAATAACTCATGAAAGAATAAAGTTAAAACCAAGCACATCATTGTTTTTCTTGTGAAATTCCCAATACGCTTGATGTGTGAAATGACCCTCGTCCTATTGAAAAAACAAAAGTTGGATCAAAGATGGCTGACTTCATAATGGCCACAATGGTCACCACCCATCTGGAAAAGTTTGCCCCCTCATGCATACTAATGTGCCACAAACAGGACGTTATAATCACCAACCATTCCCATTTTATTAACGTGTATCCATATAAACAGCCCACCCTGTATGATATAATATAATATAATGTAATATAATATAATATAATATAATATAATATAATATAATATAATATAATATAATATAATATAAAACAAAATAATATAATATAATATAATATAAAACAAAATAATATAATATAAAACAAAATAATATAATATAATATAATATAATATAATATAATATAATATAATATAATATAATATAATATAATACAATATAATGGAACTTCAAAATCCTCAAAGGGGCAGTTCACACAATATATGTACCAAGATTCTGAGGTCAGGTAAACTTCTTCCAAGACATGGGTAATAGTTTCAATAACTTGCAGTGAAGTGTAGACTAAAAACAAGAGTTGGTAGAGCTCCTGAACAGGGCAAGAAAACAAGCCAAGCATAAATGAGACGGAAAGCAAAACAGCAAATGAGAGCTTGCTGAAAATGTTACTCAATTAACTTAAGAATGCATCGATCCCTGTTTTTCTGCAATCAATCTTCATCTTGACAATTCTAGCTGCAAAGAACTAAAGCATTTACTTCACTCAGAGTGAGCCGGAGAGTGGTGGGAGTGGTTAGATCCTGTGTGATTTTTTTTCGGTGCGGTTTAACTTCTTCTTGGTTGTCTTGGCAACTGTCAAATCCAGGTTCCAGGCTTCTAACGACCATCCCTAAGCAAACAAACAGTGATATACTTCCTTCTGTTGCACTGGACTCAGGGTTTTGTGGGGTATATTTATTATTGGGCCCAAAGTGAAATTTCTGGGCCTGCTGGCAGCTGGTGAAACACTGGACAGGGAGTTTTAAATCATATTGATACTGAGAGGATTTGTATACCAGAAACTCAAACTCAAATGTGAGAAAGAATATGCATATCACACTCCACAATCTGGACTGTGGAGAGTTTGTGGCTTTTGAAGTTTCACTCAAAGGTCTGGTTAAACTTTTGTCAGACGACAAATAAGAATGAGGGTATATATCAAATAACATAGTTAAACACAGAGACTTCCATGCCTACTTACACACACATATTCATTTGCATTGGATTTATTGTATTGTTTGATTTCACTTACTTCCTTAGCAAATAAGATAGCAAATAAGCACACTTGTTGGCTGAATACCAAGCTTTTGGCAAATTGGTTTCAATGTTAGGATTTATCCACATGAGAAAAGTGAATGGTTGGACATCACGTTGGCTGCAGTAAGAGAAACAGTGTTGAATTTTCACAGATTTTGTTTCCAAAAACCCATTTAAGGAAACCGATTGCAACAAAATTAAAAACTAATCCAAATGAGTACTGTGAACTTAATCCATTTGAGTAAATGAAGCAATTTGAGCACAGTAAAACCCAATAAACGAAGAACCAACTAAGTACTGTACAGGGTTCATACACATTTTTACTACTAAAATTCCATGACTTTTCCAGAACTTTCAAGTACATTTTCATGACGTAATGTTTCCTGTAATGTCTACATATGCATGGTAAATAATAAAAACAATGACGTTCAAATTTATTACAGCACATCATAGAACACGCAACAATCTATTTTGTTTACATTTGTTTTTATACCTATTTATTTATTTATTTATTGATTGATAATGTTTCCACAGCACTAACAATGTGAGAGCAAGTTTTTGGACAAGGACAGAAAATAAGTAAAGACAGCTTATCTATATTTAAGTTAGGGCTGCACAATATATCATTTCAGCATTGATATCGCAATGTGTGCATTCGCAATAGTCACATCGCACGATGTGCAATGTTGGGATTATAGTTGAATACAGAATTTATTCATAATGAAGTGAAAGTTTATCATCTGCATGCATTTTTAAAGAGATAGTTCACCCAAAAATGACTTACATTTTCATTGCACCCTTCACTTGTTTCAAACATTTAAGTGTTTTCTTTTTTTTAGGAAGACAAAAAGATAACTCCTATAGTCTTGAAACAAGTAAAGTGGGAGCAAATAGTGAGTACATTTTAATACTTAAGTCTTTAAGGTCTGTGACTGTTTTTTAAAACATCCGTCCACAAGAATTTTTTTGTAACTGTATTAAAGATGGAATAATATACAATGAAGACTATGCTGTGCTGATTACTTAATATCTGTACCTGAATAGTAAATACCTGAAAACATTATTATTTCACTTTTATCTTTAATATATTTTATCTATGCTTGTAATTAATTTGTTATATATTATTCGAGATTCACTCCTCGACAACATCACCAAAATGACTTTTCCAGTCTTTAAACCAATAAGTTAAGGCAACTCAAACCGTTTGAAGAAACTAATTGCAACAAACCATTGAGTTAAAAAATATCTATAGGAGTACAATGAACTTTCTCCATTTAAGTTAAAGTAGTGAGGTATTTAATTAACTGATTACCTTCAACACTGAGTTCAAAACTGTTTTCCAATGAGTAGAACTAACTTTCAGTACATTTTGAGTAGACTCATTTCAAGTTGACTGTTGAGTTTTACAGTGTACACGCATCCATTTTCCTTGATTAACAAAACAAAACTCACCTATCATTTTCATTTCTTTGTTCTTGTAATTTTCTTTATATATTCTCAGACATTCTCGAGGTCTTTGACCAGAGCTAATAACAACACACCCCAGCAAAGGAATCTGCAATACAGGGTGAAAAAAAAGCGAACATGAAACACAGCTGCACAAAACTACACATTATGCTCACATCAGTTCAAGTTAGGTTTGGCTTTTCTCAAACCTGTCAAATGTTGGACAGAGAGAAGACAAAAGGGAACCATTTGAGAATTCTCACAGCTACAGGAAATAAGATGGCAAAGGAAGCATCCAGGTTTCAGCGAGATGCTTTAATGTATTCCATTCAGGGAAGAGAGAGGCCATCAACTCGACCTAACATTATTCCCACACATATCCTGAACTAATCTAGCTTTAGTAGTACCATAGCTTTTTTATGCACTAACAGGATTTTAGAGATTAAATGTACAATTTATGTTTTGATACATCAGGTCAGAGTAAAAATGAAAGCACTATTAAAAAAAAAAAAAAAGTTGCTGTTTTTCTCTATAATTATACAGAAGCTGTGGAGTGAATTGCTTTTTTGTCAAAGATTAAGATCAATTTCTAAACTGCAGTTCTTTGTAAAACCCTCAAAATTTGAGTTTATGCCTTCTGACATTTTGAGAGAGAAAAACTTTTTTTTGTAATACAGTTTTTATTTCCAAAAATAAAAATATACAATTTTTATAACCAGATAGACAAAACACTTTTAGCAGCTATTACCCCGTATATATCCCCCATGCCCCATTATATGCACATCAGGAAGCACACAATAGCTGTAGTTTAGACTAAGCAGGTAAATAAAGTACAATAAATTAGACATTCATATTATCATGAGTGTTGCGTGTCTAAGATTTCTTTGATGTCATATATAGATGTATAGATACAGTCAAAACGTCCAGTTTAGCATGGTTGATCTATGCTGATGACAGTTCTAGGTACAGTATTTCTAATAATAAATGCAACCAGTGCTTAACAGAGAGATCATGAAGGGGTTTCCACTACCAACGTTCTCTGTAGCGTTTACGGACCTTTGTTTTTAAGGGAAATTATTATCACTCAATAATACCAATGCAGGATCTTTGGGGAAACAAATTTTAGTAACTTTAAATAAAATGACCAGCACAGAATCCCAAACTTTTTGCACCTCCAGACATTCCCACATCATATGTAAAAAGGTGTCTGGATGTTGTGGTTCACAGAACTTACAATAAAGATGTGGGGATAAACCTATGATATGTTGTATTGGTAAATATGCTCTGTGAATAGTTTTGAAGTGAATAAACTAGTGATTATGGTTTGTGGAAGCCTGGAATGTATTAACCCACAGAGAGAAACACTTTCAGAAACACGCATACAAAACAAAAGGAATTTATTTCTGATTGTGCATTTATAGTCTTAAAAAAAATTATTTTTTACAATATCATTACCCTTAATCCACAGCCTCAACTGTCTTGAACGCAAAACTTTAAAGCCAAGAGATGGGTATTAGCTTTGTTTTGACAGTTTTTATTTCATTGACTCTCAAAGTATCTCATCAAAGATAAAAGTTTAGCTTTGAAAATGCATTGCCTACATCTTGGATGGTGTGAGGGTGAGTAAATTTGCAGCATTTAAATTTTTTTTTTTTTTAGGGTGAACTATGCATTAATTATTTTGTGTTTTGCATAAAATGTTAAGTTTTAGGAGCAAAATGTCTAACATGTATTTATCCAGACCTTTTCACTGAAATCATAACTAAAAGTAATTTAGTAATTTATTTATATACTGTTAAATTTATGGAAAATGTTATGGAAATGTTAGCACAATTTGACCATTAAATTTTCATCTAATTCATAATGAAAAATATCAGGAAGATTTAAAGGGTGTTGATTTGTAGTTGGCTACCACTGCAAGCTGGAAATGTGCAGGACTTCTCTTTGACTTATGACAGAAGCAGCGCAAGACAAAGCAGATCATTCACAGGTGAAGCTCAATGAGGAAAAAGACCTGGACACAGAACTGAGCTGGCAGACAAGAACGAGTGAGACTGAAAGTGTTGGCCAAAAAACTATGCTTGAACCTGGCTGGGGCAGATTCCTTGTGTGCCATCATTCTATCTGCAACAGAGGTTTGGAAAGGGGGTTGATTTATTGATTCAATCATTCCACAGCTGATAATGTAAAAACATGTCAAATGACAACAATGGAGCAAAACACGTCTCCACAAGTCAGAGGAACTATCTCTCTCTCTCTCCTTCTCCTTGTGTACTCAAAGAGAAATTAACATATCAGCAACACTCAACGCTGTCTCGTTTAAGGATAATTTGATCAATTGAGAGCTTAGGGAAAAGAAATTAAATCAATGAGAGTCATGTTCTCAAGTACTTAAAAGTCTGATATTTTACTGACAATGTGTTCATTGTGAACTTTACTGAAAGTGCTACAACTCATTGTAGATATTTAGCACTGTGAACGACTGACAAGTGATTATTTACCTTAAAGTTTGAAACCCCTGGAGCTGAATGAATTCTGCAAATGCCTTCTTGTATTCAGGTAAAAGACAAATGATGTGAAAGTTATCATTTAACCTGTAAACATTTTTCTTTTACTAGTCTTAATCTAGCTGATTCTGGTTTCCAGCTTACTCAAACATCAGATATATATGTGCAGTTGAACTCAAATGACTTTTGAGCGCCACCTATCGGTGTCGAGAGAATTACAAGAAGCATGGAGTGTGTTGCTGCACACCGGGTCTGATGCTTCATAAAGTCGCACGAATTAGACACTGAGAAACAAAGTATTACTTAGACAATATAGCAACACATGTACACATACACAGAGATGAAGTTACAAATGTTAGTCAAAATGACAAGGCAACGAATGAGACATAAAACAATGTTTAATTCATACTTTTTGGCATATATATTTATATTTATATATAATGTTCATTTAAAATAAACATAATAAACGTTTGTATAACATTTGCCATACGCAGTTTGTAAAAAAGTGCTTCCTTTTTCTTGCTGTGTATTTCTGTCCAAAGGTTCAGTCAGTGATGATCAAAAGGCACTGAAACCATCTCTGCTCGAGTGTTGTACAAAAAAGAGAGAAAGAAATAAACAGTTCGCATGAAATGCACACGCTTACAGAGCAAGACAGGACTTCACTGCAAAACCAGTGAGAAAGCACACGGTGACAGTCCACCGAAATTATTCTGACAGCAACAAACATTGCATAGAAATATGCACCCTTTCACATTTTTATCAATCATATTGCATAAATACAAAGCGTTTACTTTAAAAGCTGTATACTGACAAGCATTTTACAGATCAGTACCCGAATCATGGCAAAATGTTCACAATGTAATGCGCTTCATAGAGTCGCGTTCGGACGACATAGTGCACACAGTCTGAGTTATGAATGACAACTTGCCTACCACAGTAAAAACCAATAAGTTCCAGTCCTATGCTTTGGCATTTTGTCTATTACCGTCCATGGAACAACCCCACCCACCCCTGCTTGATATATAAATTCAACAATATCATACAGTGGGTGTTATGCTGCAACAGGTATGGTAGAAAGCCTGCTATGGCAGAAACTTTTCTGTTTGCCAAAAGGGCAGTTCAGGTTTGTTATGAAAGTTGGTAACTTGAAAAGCATGAAAAGTAGACTGACAGGGTAAAATCATGCCCATTAGCTGCACTGATATGCTTAGCGTAGCTAACACACATTCCTAACAGGACTACACCAGCATGTATTAGTCCTAATGTGTAGATGAGCTTATCGTTTCTTTCTTTGTTTTTGTACAAAAGGCACATGTATACCGCAGCTGCCTGGCTCCTATAGAAACACTTTCAGAACGTGTCAGCGGTTATCCAGCAGACGAAAAAAATCACGCAAAAGTTACTTCAAAAGTCAAGCTCGCTCCGTTAAGCGCAGTTGCCCATGGCTTTGACAAACGAGCCGTCGGGGAGCTGCCTGAAGATGCCCCGTAACGTCTCCAGTTCTCGCGTGAGGTGTTCCACCCTCTTGCGCAGTCTATCGTTATCCGCCGATAACTCGATCACTTTTTGTTGCGTCTCCACATTGCGCATTTTCGCCTTGTCCCGACTCTTGCGCACGGCTATGTTGTTGCGCTCCCTCCTCAGCCTGTACTCGGTGCTGTTCTTGTCGACGTGTTTCTTGGATTTCCCTCGATCGCCAATCTTCATGGAGCCCCCCGGCAGGTGGCTGTGCTGGTGGTGCGGACTAGGTACGGGCGTCGGGGGAGGTGTGGGATGGCCCGGCTGGAGATGCATGGTGGTTTGCGCGCAGTGCGCGATCTGGTGCTGAAGGTAGGACAGATGCGGCGCGTGGTGTTGAGAGTGGTGGTAGGTGGGTGGCATCGAGTCGCCAAGCTCATCTTCCTCCCGAGGCTCTTGTTTGATGGCCACGGGTCTCATTCTTGCTTGGCTGTCGTAGATGGGTTCTAGTTTGGAAGAATCCATGTAGCCGTTCAGGCAGCCATACATCTGCGGGGCCCCCGGCGCGCCATTGGCACCGTGGTGGTAGTCGTAGTCTCCGCTCGCCAGTTTGAGCTTCTCTTGCTTGGAGCTGTTGTGGAATAAGTCAGCCAGGAACTCGTCGTTGAAGGCAGACGGATCAATGTAGGCGCTGATGTCGATGGAGTTCTCGTTCTCGCAGATCTCGCTCAGGTCTCCAGCGGTGTCTTTGTAGATGTAGGGGTTCTGCTGATTCTGTACAAGGCTGGTCATTAGTGGCCGTGGGGCGACCTCGTAGAGGTTTGCTTGCTCCATGGAGTATCTAAAACCCGCCAGACATGGTGAAGAGCTCCGGGAATCCAGCTTGGTCGCAGTACCGGAGAAAGCCGTGCTGGCTGCAAGTTCTCTGGACAGGTGAGTAAGCAACCTGTCGTGACTGTGCACTTGGCGGTAAAGTGGATGCGAGTTTAAAGGCTGAAACGCCACACGGGATCTCCTTTAAGATGACACTTGCAACCTCAGTGTGTGAGCTTCACGTCTGTCAAGTACTTTTCTGAGTGCACTTATATAGTCTTTGGAGTTTGGAGGGCGGTCCTAATGCTTTCCTGAGTGATCTGTGCGCGAGAGCGCAGCGGACGCACTGATAGACCTAGAACTACATAAATGTTATTATTACCGGATGAAAAAAATATATATATATACATATTATCGTTTTATGCTGATTAAAATAGTTATTAAAACAAGGCGTCTTTGTTTTTTTCATATTAACTGTTTCTTAACGTTTTGATGCTCAAATAGGTGCAAGTGGGAAATGTGCAGGACTTTGGACGTTTTGGGGTGTGTGAGTAATTCAAATTGAATTTGCAAGAAATTTGCACTGGGGAAATGATTTTCGTTAGGAGAGAAGAGGTAAGCGCGGACTGAAGGATGAGAGCAATTACAACGACAAACATTTACGGAGAACTGTCGCTCAGCACCTTCTGAATGAAACACAAATTAACGTAGAAGCATCTTTCAATAAACTGGATGTAATGATTTTTTAGGTGTACAATAATGCACAATAGCCTAATGACACATGACATTTTCTGATAAATACATAACATAATTTATTCACACACAAATAAACATTCAAAAGTGAGATTTGGGCATCCCCTTGAAGATTTAAATTAGATTAGATTAAAATGGGTTTGCTGGTCGCTTCAACATAATTGTACTGTTCATAAACGCTAGGGAGAATGTTTGCGCACAACAATGAATACGCCGCCTTTGCCAAAACCAACAGAGCATCACATGTCTCCCCATAGTGCGAGAAAAGCTGAGGAACTTGACAATTGCGCTGAAGTTGGAGCGTGAGGATCGGGCATTAATCAGTGCGTGCGCAGTATGGGAGCTCCCTCTATTGTTACAGCGCGGGCCTGGCACCTAAAGAATGAGACGAGAAACCAACAGACATGCCGCCAGCAATAGATAAGTTATAATTGACCTTTTTCCCTATTGTTTACAATTGTATTACTTAAGCAGGAACTGGACATGTTCATGTTAGAGCCCTGCATGAGCTTAACGAGTTGTTGCATGCCATTAATTAAAGAAATGTAGTACCTGATGGTAAGGTCCATGATTTACTTGCAACAGAATACAAAATAAATAAACAGGGGAAAAGAAATGTGATAAATTAAAGATGGACCTAAAATATTACTCATGAATTGAAGTTGTTTAGCGAGATAGACACAAGCTTCTATGAGAAGGCTATTTTTAGGTTTTCCAGATATAAAATGAAAATGCTATGTAACAAAAAGCTGGAACATTAAAATTATTTTTACTTACCCTTACACGTGGAGTTACTACAAAAAGACACAGTTAAACTACCACAAATGAACAATGATTTGGCTACTCTTAAAGTTTAATGTTAGCAATACTGTCGGTAAAAACTGCAATCAATTGGCAATAAAAAACATGGTTAACTTACCACAATTTTACTATAGGCTAACCATTTTTAGGGGTAATTTAGCCCAGCTCTCCTTTCTATTTTAATAGTTTCTTAATGTACTATAGAATATTAATCTGCATTTATGCATGTAACACAATTCATAATTCATAAATAATGAGTAAATCTTATGTTTTCATTTTCATTGCAAAAAATAAAGCTATATTTTACATTGTTTAGTATTCTTGACAGATCTCAAGCTGTAATGCATAAAAACGCCTCAAACAGAGATGTGCAGCCTGATTGGTTCTCGGACATGTCAATCAAAGAGTGCATTTCGTCATTTTTCCAACCCTCTGGTTTGATTGGCTGCAAGAGTAGATTTCCCTACATGGTCACAAGATTTCGCAATACTCCCAAGCGCCGCTTTACCAAACAATAACACCTCAACCTGTGCTTATTTTTCCGTGAACAAAGAGGACATTATTCTTTATTTACCCGAGCGGAGGACTTATAAGGCACGAACGTTCGAGGTAAGTTGTATGGGGTTATCTTGTGCTATACAGACTGTCGAATTTAGTTTTTATCAATTACACGATGAGAGGATCCGTGCCGCTCACTCGATTGCAAAACAGCTTCAACTCCCGGATCTGGGGCCAGCGAGTGCTTTATAAGCCAATATTAGACATAATCGTGCTCGAATGTGTCTCGTTATTGTTCATTCGCGTAATTTCGGTCAAAAAAACAGCCTGTTTGAGCTTTCAGCTCATTGTTAGAGCCCTGACGTCATGGTTAGGAATGTGCCAGCTAATTAGCCAACCTGCTAACCTGCAGTAGATCTTGCTGGCTTTAGACGCCCGTAGACTTCAAGTAACGTTAACACTCGTGTCTTCGTTATGGGTGCTGTTTAACGCGATCCGTTACAAAATATTTAGTAGATATGCTGCCATTTTGAATGTATTCATGCTGTTGTTAGCGTAAGTCAACGGTATTCCCCTTCATTCCCATAGTTCCGTGTATGATGTAACCACAGTGCCACGATTAAAAACAGCCTAAAACACACTGGCCTGCTTTAAAATGACCACCTTAAAACTTAAGTCTGCCTTACAGTAGCTTCACTGTCCTAATGTTTGTTTAAAATGTTAACTTTAGCTGGGCATAGTTCTGCATGACTACGGAGTTTCCCTACTCCCGTGTACAAAGGAGCGGGTGGGAGCGCGAGCGATGATGCAACCGCGGGCAACACTTGAGCTCGCGCTCGTAGGAGAGAGAAGGAAATTTTGCCACATATGCACATTGACATGGCAGCACGGTCGGATTACAACAACATAATGCTAACGGATGAGCACAAGCACTTCACCAGAGTTTTAGGTGTTGCAGCATTTTGCTGAAATAATGCGTTTTCGCGCCGAGCATCTGTTCAGGTGGGAATTTTGTGGTATTAAATTATGCAGAAGTGTGATGAAGAATGATGCTTATGTGTGCAGAGTACTTTTTCTAACTTCTTTCTCTCCTCCTGTCTGGTTTTTAGGCACACCGCTGCATCCTGTGTTTTTTTCACAATAACAGCTAACAATAACTCCAGTTTCGCGAAGGCTGACAACGAAGGTCAGAGAGGGCGAGCGACGGACATTGGAAGTGGATCCAAATGAGCAAGCAGTTGCAACAGAAAATATCCAGCACAGATCAGAACGGCGTCAGTGTAATACAGAATCAGCCTCATAATAGTGCACTGAACCCAGCAGGAGCTGCAGGTCTACAGCAGGTACATACGTTTACAGTATGATTACTTGTATGACTTTCGAAAGCACGATCAAAACTTTGCAGTGCTTAAAACCATAATAATTGAGCTTATAGTGAACTCACCTAATCAGTTTCCTATAGTCTTAAAAGATGTTTAAATAAAAATAATAGGTTTACAACCCCCACTCTCCTCATAACTTATACTCTCCATAGTTTGCACATTTAAAAATTGCACATATTCATCGCACAACATTGCACCAAGTAATTTTGAATTTAACATACCCTCTGCACATATACAATTGTAATTGTTCATATATATCTGCATACTTCTGATTATTAATAGCAAACTGTACACATATTCATCTATTGTTAATCTCTGTTCAAAACTAATACAACTTGTATAATGTTCATAGTAGCTATATCCATCTGAAAATATTACTCATAGTTTTTCTATAATTGCACTTTATAACTTATACCTATATCATGCACTTGGTGCTATTGCACTGCTGGTTAGACCTAAATGGCATTTTGTTGCCTTGTACTTGTACATGTGTGATGACAATAAAGTTGAATCTAATCTAAATATCAAAACAAGTGTATTGGATATGCCAAGGCCATGACCATTTCTTTAACTTTAGGAGAGATTATTAAAAATTAGGTATAAAGAAATGGTATGTTGAGGGAAAATTTAGGTCTTGTTTGGTAGAAATCATTATGCTCTAAATGCAAATAATATTTGAAATTAGCCCATATTGACTCTTATTTATATGCCTAATATTAAAAAAAAAAAACAATTATTGCAACATTTATATTGAATCTCGTTAAGGATTTACATATGAACACAACAGACATATTTATAATTCAAAACAACAAAATTTGAGGTGAACAGGAGTTTGCTTCCATCATAAACATTTCTATTTTAAATAGGGCTGGGCGAATAATCGAAAAGTAATCGAAAACGACATTTATCGATAAAATTATTTCCTAGGTCAATTATTTTAATTACTTTCCTTACCGTGTGTGGAGTCCCATGCCCCTGCTCTTTTAAGGCTGATTTAAACTTCTGGGTCGAACAAATGGGTATGGGCCAGTGCAGCCTTTGCATGGTCGCATACCCGTGCACCTCTTAAAAAAATGTAACAACACATCGCACATTTGCACTACATTGACAATGATTGGAAGTTGCGCCAGAGATGCCTTGAGGCGGCATATTTTCCATTACAATAAAATGATTATTTACATTAAAATATTTGTTTACAGAAGATTCAAGTAAAATTATTGATGATGAGAAATATTAAAATATTATTTAGAGTTTATTTTGTTTAGAAGAGATACTGCTTATTTTCTTCTTTTTAAAAACAATGAAAATAATTTATTTTGTTTCCAAAAGTGCAAGTTATTTATTTTCTATTTTTTTAAAGGAAGTAGTGACTGTTGGTTGTAGGCAGTGTGTGTTTTAATTTCAGTTGTTCAACGTTGATGTTCAATAAATAATCATAGATAGTAAATAGTGTGTTTCCTTCATTTATTTTAAAATCCAGTAATGCACCCTTCATTCAAAAATATCTGACTTGTAATATGTGAGAATATTTACTGTACAAATCTTGTTAGTGAACTATGAGGGCAAAGAAATAAAATAATCATTCATTAATCGTAATCAAGTTAAAATCAATCAATTAATCAAGATTTTGATTTTATTTTAAATTGCCCAGCTCTGATTTTAAAACAGTATTGGATTAAATATTTTTTCTACCTCACTTTAGATCAGGGGATACCAATCTTTTTAACCCGCGACCCCCAAAATAACAATGCCAGTGACTTGCGACCTCCAATATCCTCTGAGGTGGTGATCAATATAGAAACCTTGTGTGCAACAGAGCGCGCACACACACCAATAGACCCAAGTCTATTCTTTGTTTAATTTATGTATGCAAGTGCTGTAAATGTGCCAGAAAGTTTAACCTGCTGCCATAAAATCAATCTGGTGCATCTGTCTCTTGCTGTCTCTTTAATATAAAGTTATTACTACAAGGGGCACAATCCAAACGATTAAAAAAAGGCTGTAGCTATAAACTACTATTTTCATCTTCAGTAGGTTATTGATTAAAAAAAAATGGTAATTTTAATGGTTTAACAAAATTAATTATATTTTAGAAAATCACCAAGCGACAGGGACAGATATACACACTCTGTGATTACAGCCCTGGAGTATACCATTGCTAACTGTTACGTATCTTAATTTTGACAGGTTCCTCAATTAGTGCCAGTGAATCCCGGCGGTGGGGGTAAGGCCACAGCACCCAGCAAGATGAAGAAGTCTAATATGGATAAAGACAGCGACGAGTACCGTCAGCGGCGAGAACGCAACAACCTAGCTGTAAAGAAGAGTCGTATGCGCAGCAAACAGAAGGCACAGGACACCCAGCAGCGTGTCAATGAGCTGAAAGAGGAGAATGAGAGACTGGAGGCCAAAATCAAATTGCTTAGCAAAGAACTGAGTGTGCTCAAAGACCTGTTTCTAGAGCATGCTCACAACCTTGCAGACAACGTGCAACCACCTGCTTCTGGTGGAGGCCCTGGAGACCTTTGCAACAACAACAGCGGCAGTAACAGCAGCCAGTGAGGGTTCGTTTGCAATGTGAAGGCTCTCGAGGCGAATCAGTTTTCTTAATCGTATTATGCTTTTCCCCTCCTGTTCCTGGAATGTGTACTGTGTCCGCAGTGTTTTCTGTGTTTTCTGTTGGTACATTCAAATTCAGTTTCTTTTTCACTCGTATCTCGTGGAATGTTATGATATATTCGCCATAGCAACCACAGAAAGTCCGACCCATGCTCTTATTTGATGTGCTGGAGATAACGAAAATATCCAGCAACCATAAAGCGACATGTTCATGAAAGCTTGTGCTGACTTGGAGGGCTGTGAAAGCTTCTCAATAGACAATCCGGAGCAAAGCAGTTGAAATACTAATAGGAAATGCATTCCATCACTCCACTCTATTGTCTAAACTGATGAACAGATGCTGCAATCTTTAAATAATATACATTTTTGCTAGGAATTAGGGCTACCAAACATTTAAGTAAGGATGTCACCAGAAGAGTACTTATTTTGTCTTCTTGCTTTCTGCCTGTCAGCTTAAGTTGATTTGAAACTCTTATTTGTTGACCATGTCTTATTTTAGCACATACACTGTTGTATCTATGGTAACAGACTCTAGACAGACAAAACGTATTGCATCAGACTCCAGACAGTGTCTGCATTACCAGTAGTCTTCAAATCCCTACAGTTAAGCCACCAATTCTGACAAGGGTGGAGAAGGAGAGATAGAGAATATTTGCTCTAGCCTGTTTGTTAGGGTGTTGGTAGCCTAATTAACTCAAACATATTTCATAACAGTCTGTGTAAATACCGTTGATGGTGCAGACAAGATTTATTAGGACTAGTACCTAGACTGGTGCTGAACTTCTTCAATCACCTGATGTGCCCTAAATTGATGAAATGATCTAGATACAGTTCTATTCAGAAGTTCCTTATCCAAATAAGCTCTTTATCTGGCTACAAATTTTGTCCATTTGGTTTCCCTGACCAGTCTCTGAGAAGTATGTGTGAATTTACATCTGCAGCTGCAGGTGTTACTTGGAGTTATTTGGAGCAGCCACATGACCCTTGCCCTTATTGATTCTCATAGAGTTGTGTGTTCTTGGAGCCGCTGTAGATAGACTTTTGTACCTCAGGCTATATGTCATAGCCTCACCAGACAGCCTTTAATATCTATATTCCTGTTTAAAATAAAATGAAAACGCCTAGCATAAGAAAAGTCAAGGCAATCGTGTAAGATGTCTGAAGCATCTACTGTATATTTCCATTTTCTATACCTGAAGTTTTAAAACCTGAAAAAAGCATGAAAGGCAATGCATGATTAGCACTATTTAAACAACTAATTAAGAGTTTTGCTCTATAGAGGAATAGTGAATTGGCGACTGCATACTTTTGTAATATATCAGGCTGCGCGAAAAAATAAAACTGTTGTGTAAAAGTTCTTAAAAATGAAACTAGTCAATAATTCATGAATATTTGATTGGCATATTTTGCTTAAGTATGAGGGTTGCTGGGCAACTTGCTTTTTTACATAATGTATACTTGGGTTTCTGTGCATTGTAAATTAAAGTTGAATACAAAAAACATTTCTTGTGTTTGTACTCTCTGTGAGGAAGGGCACAACACCCAGACATTCATTTGAACTTGCCATGATAGGTTTGGTCAAAAACTAAACTCCATCTGATTTCCTTATCACAAATAAAGCTTTACATGACTTCAAATATGCATCACAATCTCTGCATATATAATAAAGAGTACTTCTCTGCCAAAGAGTTTGTAAGTCCCGCAGAGTGCCTCAATATAAAAGTTTACCAAAATACAGTAGTCAACATTTGAAGTGGATCAATTTTGAACTACTATTGAATTTTGAACAAACTATTGAACAACACTCATTCTTGTCATAGGACAATTTAAAAAACCTTTTTGATACACTTCTAATGTTGACTACTACTGTATATATTTAGTTACTGCCATTTTTTATTTTTTGCAAAACCAGCCCAAAACAGCAATTCACAAACTCCTGACAACGACACAAGATACCCACAGCAATGACAACGACACAAGATACCCACTCCAATGAAACCAATGCCAACATTAAGCCTCTAGTCTTGGGCATTCTGTTTCACTATAACACTGCATGTTGAGGTGACAGATCTGTTACGCAATACTGCAGAGCTAAATCAGTCAAGCGCATGGTTAACTATTTAAGAGGAGACTTGAACTGGAGTTGTCTAAAGTCAAGGTCAGGACCAAAATAAAACATTTAAAAATTACCTCAGATTATTGTATGCATTAAATAAAAAAAATCTTTACATGACAACAATTTACAAAAATCTGAATAAAATATGTTTATGAATTGTCAGAGCAATGTGGTCAAAATGACTAAACCACTTTATTGTGCATGCCACTTCTACACTACCTGACAAAAGTCTTATCGTCTATCCAAGTTTTATGAACAACAAATTATAACTTGACTTGTACAGTAGTTGATCATTTGGTATCAGGAGTGGCTTATATGAAATTCAAAGGCCTCTAGATGCGCTTAATTTCCCAAAATATAATATGATCATGCCTTGATTTTTAATTATTGTAAGGTCTGACTTTGCTAACACAAAAGTCTTGCCACTTAACAGAAGTAATGTACAATATAGAATATAAAGTCATGGTGGAGTGGAGAAAGAATTAATATTGTGTATGACTCCCATGAGCTTGGAGGACTGCATCCATACATCTCTGCAATGACTCAAATAACTTATTAATAAAGTCATCTGGAATGGCAAAGAAAGCATTCTTGCAGGACCCCCAGAGTTAATCAAGATTCTTTGGATTCATCTTCAATGCCTCCTCCTTCATCTCACCCCAAACAAGCTCAATAATGTTCATATAATGTTGTTCATATAATGTTGTAATGTTTGTAATGTAATGTGCAGTGCAAATGTCTTGATACCTTAGGCTGTTGATGTTGCCATCACTCATCTCTCGCATGCCCCATACTCAAAGTAACCCCAAATCATGATTTTTTCTTAACCAAATTTGACTGATTTCCGTGACAATCTTGGGTCCATGTGGGTCCCAATAGGTCTTCTGCAGTATTTGTGATGATTGTGATGCAGTTCAACAGATGATTAATCTGAAAAATCGACCTTCTGCAACTTTTTCAAACAATCAACTAGAAGTCAAGTTATTATTTGTTGCTCTCACAACTGATATCAATGACAAGACTTTTGTCAGGTAGTGTATAGTTTGCTAAATTAACTGTTACCTTAATGCACACAGTCCTGTGGTCCATCAATGTTGTTTTGGTTGTAAAACATCTACAAATGCCTACAGGCTGAATATGTACTATGCAAACATGTCTATATAGTCACTATTTCCAAAAAATATGTTTAATGTATTTGAAAAAAGCTTGCACTACGAAACTGGTGTCATGCAAACAAACTCAGGGATGTAAACATTAAATTAGAGAGATCCTAATGTTAACAATGTCATATTTCATGTTGCTTTAAACTTGTCGTAATTTTTTTTACAAGTCATTTAAAAGACATCTGAAGATTTCTGTGGACCAAACAGACCAGACTGACTTTCATTGTGTTGGCAACATTTTCTTTTGCTGTGTTCCACTACAATTTTGTCCCTTTAAATTTATTAGCAACCTGTTTGAAAGAACAGACGGGAAAAAAAATCAATAAATCAATAATAAAAAAATAACTGATAAAAAAGAAGAAATATATTCTAGCTGACAGTGAAAAGGTGTGTCATTCTGTACTTTGACTCTGAACTAATGTAGGTGCGTGCATGTGATTTCGTACCCTGTTCAGAGAGATAAGCTGTATGACGTATATTGGAACAGACACAGTTTCCCAGTAGAAAGGAAGGACGCAGAACACCAAGTACTAGCTCACACCTCTTTTCATTTTTCTATCAATTTGTACCTTTACACACATCTTCTCTCTTGTCTACGTTTCTCTGCAGTCTACAGCAGTGATAGTCATTTTAAAAATCATCTTTACAGCCCATTCAGTAACTCCAGCGGATGTACATATTTTACATTTGCACTGCATTTCTAGACCTTAAAGCCAGTGGGTTACTCTGCAGCCAATGCAATAAAATGGCTTTCAAGATGCTGATGCATTTGGTGACCTGCTTTAAGCGGACAAGGCCGCAGACACTATGTTATTCCAGCTGGCAAATGGCTAGAGACAAGAGATAGCAAAATGCTGATTCAAAAACGTGGTACATTTACATTGCTGAGGTTACTGTAATAATCTGCCACAGCACATTCGTTCTGTAGTTAATATATAACCGACTGACATCAGCATCATCCGACCGGCAGCAAGACATTAAGGTATGAGTGAGTATATTAACTGCTGGACTGGTTCCAATTTGGATATGCTGATAAGGTGGAGAGGCAAGTAGACAAGCTCTCGGGGGCACTGTAACCTCAAGCCAAAACAGCAGATGTCATGCTACAGATGTTGTATTAACATTTCTCAAATTGAATTATGCCGCTCTCACTGGAACACCCTTGTACGTTTAACATCTAACACTATTAGGTAGAAATAAAGTTTAATTTGTTTCCTATGAGATAATGCTTAGACGTGAATACATCTTACATATTAAAGGAACAGTTCGCTCAAAATTGAAAATTCACTCACTATTTGCTTACCTTCTCTTGTTGAACACTAAAGAACATACTTGAAATAAACCTGAAAACTTGCAACCACTGAAATTTATTAAAGGAAAAACTAATAGCATGGAAGTTAGGGGTAACGAATAATTGTTGATTCATGATTCGTACAGATCACAACCCACGGATTCATCCTTTTTTTTTACTTGTAGATTTATCCTAAATTTGCATCGATCGCAGAGAGATCGCCTCTCATGTCATTGAAATCACATGTGTGAAAGTATTTAGGCTTACCTGTAAAATATAATGATGTTGGAAGAAGTTGTGGAAGTTTTTTTGGGATGTGGTGGGTTTTTTAGGTTATCAAAGGTGTTTTCTGTCACTACTTGTTTAGCCTGCATTAATGTATTCAGTCTAAGATGCACGATTAATCACTAAAAGATCAAGATCTCAACAACCTATACAACATCAATAATAAATGATGGTGATTTGCATGTTTCTTAATCCTTCGATTTTCTGCATTCAAATCTGTGTTTGAAAAAATGCAAAAATCAAGGAGATCAAGAGATTCAGTCTTTAGTTTTGCAAACAGTCGAATAACATAAAAGTGCTGGGATAACAATTTATATAAAACCACTGATGTTTATGGTAAAGATTAAAATTACCGTCATAAGAATTTACCTTGATGCTCAAAAATGAAAGTTATAGGCAGTAATTACATTATTTAAGAAATAGGTTGCAACAACCAGCCGGCAAAAATATGCTACTGAATAATTCTTCAAAAATGATACATTTAGAAACAAAACATGAAGAAGATTTTATGAGGGAATAACTGAATCATTTATTAAAAATGCGACTAAAAATAAATATGGGTTGTAAAAATTCTAATGTTAGATTTCTACATTTAGCATCATCAGCAACAATAGTATTAACAGTGAATTTTTTACAGTACTGAATATTTAACTATTTATTTTTATTCAGCTGATTATTTCTTCATTTTATTTTTGATAAAATTACAGGTTTTAAGTTCTGTTTGTTTTCCCAGAGATGGGTTGCGGCTGGAAGGGCATCCGCTGCATAAAAACGTACTGGATAAGTTGGCGGTTCAATACACTGTGGCGACCCCAGATTAATAAAGAGACTAAGTCGAAAAGAAAATGAATGAACGAATGAGTTCTGTTTGTCAAAACCAAATGTTTCTAGCAGTGCTGCTTTGGTAATAAATGAAAAGCAAATGACATTTGTCTCAGGCTGATAAAAAACCCTAATGTGATCCGAACCATGAGATTTGTGATCCGTCACACCACTAATGGACGTCAATGATTACAGGTTTTCAGCTTTATTTAAAATATCTTCTTTTGAGTTCATCAGAAGAAAAACTCAAGCAGGTTTGTGAAGTGTGAGTAAATGATGATTTAAACTTCAGTTTTAAGTGAACTATCCCTTTAAGGCACAGGTGTCAGGTGCTCCAGGAGTTTGACAGCCCTGCTTTAAGGTGACCAAAATTTCTGAATTGGAAAGCAGAGACATTTTCTAGTTCTGCAGTGAAAATGCAATTTAAAACATGCTGGTTAGTATTAAAATAAAAAATAGTTTAAGCGGGGGGGTGAGTGGGTTGAGCGCGCCTACTGAAGGGCGGGACGGAGGGTGTGTCGCGTCGCGGGGGCACTTTTGATCATTTTGGAAGGGCACTTTATATCCAAGACTAAAAAGGGCATGTGCACTGCACAGGTTGAGCCCTATGTGTGCACGTGCCTGATTAAGATTATGTGAAACTGATCATAACTGTTCTCTGAAACATACTAAATAACAAATACGAAATAATGCTAATTTGGGGGCGAAGCAGAGGCGCAGTAGGTAGTGCTGTTGCCTCACAGCAAAAAGGTCGCTGGGTCGCTGTTTCGAGCCTCGGCTCAGTTGGCGTTTTTGTGTGGAGTTTGCATGTTCTCCCTGCATT